CTTTTTTTTTTTGTACCGGGGATCAAACTTGCATCCTTGTATTTTCAAGGCAGGTGGCAGAACCACTGAGCTAAATCCCTGGCCCTATCTTTGTATTTTTTCCCCATTTCCTGGGACCCTCCCTTTATCTCCTCCACCCCCGTTTACAAAGACTGTTTCCATTTTTTCATTTTCTCATATTAATTCCACTAACTTTTTTCCTTCCCTCATCCCTCCTTCCCCCTCGTACCTTTTATTCCTATTTCACATTATCTGTTATATATTTTGATCCTTATTTACACTTTCATTTTCTCACACATTTTTATGATGCTTTCACAGCCTGGAGAAGCTCCCTTCCTTAGTTTAGTAAATTTTCCGGTCTTTGAAGAAGTAGTTTAAATATGTCTCTTGAGCTGCGTGCAGTGACACATGCCTGTAATCCTAGCTAGCACTTGGGGGCTGAGGCAAGAAGATGGCATGAGTTGAGGCCATCCTGGGCTACATGTGACTTCAAGGCCAGCCTGGACTACATAGCAAGACCCTATCTGGGGGAAAGAAAAAGAAAAAAAAAAAATGTGTCTCCTGGGGAACAATTTCTCTCCACTACACAAAATTATTCTTCACTTCTGTAGCTCTTTGTTGCTCTACTTTCTTATTAAACAAGCATCCATTTAGCAGAACCATTCTCATCCTGATTTTATAGCTGAAGAAACATTCTGAGGAATCAGTTTGTCCATCCACTCAGGCAGTGGCTGAGGCAGATGGAGAGCAGGTCGGTGGGGCTGTAGCTGTGTCCCCTGGGAGGAAGGTACAGGGAAGATACTGCTTTGGAGCTGGGTCTACAGACCCTTACAACAGCTCTTCCGGGGCCCATGTGACACTGAGCAGCTGGTGAGGATTTCCAGGCCCTCAATGACAGAATGGTAATACAGTCCTTTCTCCTTCAAGTGAGCTGTTTAGTAGAAGTGACAGTGCTTCAAAGTTGCTTCTCCTCATTAACACAAAATGAACATAACTGTCATTATAGCATGGGAACAATTTTGGAGTTTTTAATAGAGATGAGAACACAGGGACGCATTAGGCTTTTTATTTTAGTTTTGTGCTTTAAATGTCCACACAATTTTTGTTAAAAAGGTTTTTAGCTTGTAAAGTATCTGTAAATGGTGTAACTTATCATAATTGTTTCTATACCTGTCTTCCTTACCACTAAATGTTAATTTTTCTAAAGGCAAGATGTGCCTGCTGTCCTGTGTCTGCCCAGAGATAACCTAGTAGTTTACATGAGGGACACTTTTTGGCTCTGGGCAGGTGACAGGATCACCTTGCAGACAGAAGCCACCACCAGAAGAGTGCCTTTCTGGCATTTCATTAACTCAGTCCTAGCAGTGTGTTAGATTAAGTTTCCCCTAAATTGTCTGAAGAGTGTTTAATACAGTTTCATTGTAATACAGGGAACATTATGTGCATTTTCAGTTATTATTTGGGTGTGCACATGGTACAGAATTTCTCCTGTGCAAAGTAAGACTCCAGCTCATCACTGTGCTGCGGCCACTGGCCCTGCTTTCCCAAGGCAGCATAGCTCCAGTCTCTTGAATCTCCTTCTGAGGTCAACTGTGTTGATAAGAGCATTTAACTCCTTGGGGATTTTAAAGGACAGTGGTGCTATCTACAGTTTTACCTGTTTGTTTTTTCCTGTCTTGAGTACTAACTTGTGTACACACACTATAATTTATAGTGCTCTGCTTTTCTTCTGAGGTTCTGGGATCAAACACTCAGGCCAAGTCAGCTCCATGAAGTTCCAGCAGTCTTCAGCCATCTGGATGGACATGCCAGTGATAGGAAGAAAGAAACAGCTGCCACAGACCCATAGTCTCCAATCCCCGGACCTGAATGTGCTCATACCCACTGGCTTCTAGAACTCTTCCTCTTCTAGTCACACAGAATGGAGGATTTCTTGTGCCCGTTTACCTTTTTATCTTCCCTCTAACATAGGAAAGATATAATTTTAAAATCTCTTAAAGTGAGACTAGAACAAAAGTCTTGGATTTTTGAGAAACATTAATGCAAAGCTTGCCCCTGTGTAGAAACTATTTTATACCATATCAGAGTTATATGAAATCTCTGCAGTGATGTTTGGGGAATCGCCTTACTTATTTTTGTATTATTTACCCTAGACATGACATCCGTCATTACTTACTAAGTAAATATCTTTCTTCTGTTCTAACGTTTGGGCTTCTCGGTTGTTTTACCACCATCAGTAGGAACATTAGCCAGGCATGGCTTTGGCCTTGGCTGTGCTGGTTGCTAAGCTACAGCCTGTTAGGTGCCCTGTGATCTTGTTGTGGTTTTTGTTGTTGATGTTGTTGTTGTTTTGGTACCAGGGATCGAACTCAGGTCTCAGGCAGTGGAACCACTGGGCTAAATCCCTGGCCCTCTTTTTGAGCTCTAGCTACAGTGACCAGCCAGACCTGTCAGTTCTCCCCTTTGCTTCTTGCATCCCTTCATCTGCAGCCAGTTGTGCTTCCTGACAGTTGCTAACTGCTGCTTGGGAGGGATCTTCTCTTTCATGTCACAGAGCTGCTATCTCTGAGTGTGTGGTGCTGGGAATTGGATCAGCCCGGTGGGCCCTTTATATTCTAAGCAGGTGCTCCACCACTGAGCTACCCACCTAGCCCCCACACACACTACTCTAGTCTATCCTTCCTTTCTTTCTTTCTTTCTTTTTTTTTTTTTTTAATTTTTTGGAGACAGGGTCTCACTTTGTAGTTCAGATTGCTCTGGAACTCACTGTGTAGCCCAGTCTGGTCTTGAACTCGCAGCAATCCTCCTGCCTCAGCCTCGCAAGTGCTGGGATTGCAAGAGCGCACCACCACACCTGTCTTAGTCTATCCTTTCTTGAACTTCAAAATGGGATTAATTTATCTCTACTTTTATTGAAAATTTCCTAAGGGAGAAAATTCGGTCTCTTGATTGGGTATTCAGAAATGCATGTTGAAATTTAAAGATGATAAGTACATTTAGAGTCTCGAAATTACTGTTGCTTTATTTTGATTTCCTTGTCTAGTTGGCCTGAAACTTTTGTGGGGAAGGGAGGAGTGAAAACAAGTGGAGTTTTTCTGTATGAAGGCATTTTTCACAGGAGCTTCATCCCTTAGGCAGCACATATGTTACAGAATGAGAACATAAAGAAGCTGCCTGTATTTCTTCTCCCTCTGCACTTTTGCCTCCTGTCCTGAACACATCTTAAGTACCTGCTGCAGTTGGTGGTCCGTACCACCTTGTTTAAATCTAGAGCTGACCTCATTGAGAGGTCTTGGAGGAGTCTAGAATTATCAGGACAGTTAATTTGTGACTTTGTTTTTGGTGTTGTGGTTTGACGATGAGAATGCTTACTATGAAAAAATGCCTACTATGGTACTTTCTTCTCAGAAAAAAACATTGCCAAGGGATGGGGATTTGGCTCAGTGGTCTCCTGCCTTGCAAATGCAAGGGCCCGAGTTCAATCCCCAGTACCAAAAATTAAAATAGGAAGAACCATTGGCAAAATTAGATACATCATTGTGTTTGTGTATAATGTGTGAAGTTACATTCCTCGACATGTAATTGCTGTATCAGAGATACATGTACTCTTAAATTTTTTGATAGCCATTACACCCATAGGAGAGTGTAATAATTCACTCTCCTCCCCCGAATTGTTCCATGCTTGGTGCTGCATGCCTATAATCCAGCTACTTGGGAAACTGAAACAGGAAGATCACAAGTTCACCGCAAACCTGGTCAACTTGATAAGAACTTGACTCGATTTTTTTTTTTTTTTTTTTTTTTAGGGCTAAGGCTGTAACTCCATGGCGGAAAGCTTACCTAGCATGTGGGAAGGGGTTCAGTCCCTAAATACACCTCCAAAAAAAAAGAGTCTTGCTATATCCTTATGAATATAGTGTCTCAACCTTTGGTCTTTATCAGTCTTACAAATAACATGTTTTCATTTGGACAAGTTTTCACATGTCTGAACTCCCATTTGTTGAAGGGCCAGGGATGTAGCTCAGTGGTGCCACGCCTGCCTGGCAAGCACAAGGTCCTGAATTCAGCTCCTGGTACCAGGAAAAAAAATTAATAAACTCCATTTGTTGAGTAATGACTGCTAGTGGGCACAGAGTTTCTTTTTGGAATGATGAGAATGTTACATAACTGGATGGTAGTAATATTTGCCCAACCTTGCCAGTCTACTTAATATCCGAATTTTTTGTTTTAAGTAAGTTTGTTTTTTGTGGTATGTGAATTATATCTCATGCTGCTGCTTGAGAAACGCTTTTGTATTTTGTTTTGTGCAAGCTGATTTACTCAGGTTGGCCTGGAACTTGACAAGGTCCTCCTGCCTCAGCCTCCTGAGTGCTGGGATTACAGGCATGTGCCATCTGCACCTGGCTCTTTTTGTTTTGTTTTGTTTTGTTTCTTTGTGTTTATTTTTGTTTTTGTTTGTTTGGTTGGTTGGGGTTTTTTTGGTACCCAGGGACCTTGCACTTAAAAGAAAGGGTGGTGGCACCACTGAGCTAAATCCCCAATCCTCTTGTTTTTTACTACAAGTTTGGTTTTTCAATCTTAGAAATAGTTTCTCTTTTTTTTGTTTTTGTTTTTATTTTTTGTTTGTTTGTTTGTTTGTTTTTGAGACAGGGTCTCACTGTGTAGTTGAGACTGACCTGGAACTCACTGTGTAGTCCAGGCTGGTCTCAAACTCATAACTAGTGATCCTCCTGCCTCAGCCTCCCAAGTGCTGGGATTACAGGCGTAAGCCACCACGCCCAGCCTTTAGAAATAATTTCAAGACTTTCTCTTCTTTCAGTCGGCTGTGGAACAATTTAAATCTCAGTAAATATAACCTGTGACACTAAATAGTGTTCTGCTTTCTGGGGGGTATTCTTGGTGATTTATTCTATTTTTTTTGTAAACGTGATCAGTCTGATACTTTGTTTTTGTTTTTGAACTCTTTTTTTGGTAATTGATATTTTTCTTGAAAATTGCGTGTTTTATCAAAGTTTTTTAAGATACGTGTGTTGATGAGCAAGCGTAGTACTCAGCGTTCTCTTAACTTTATTCTATGTTCTTTATATTAATATCGTTCTATTTTCTTACAGGAACAGGAAATATAGTGGTCATTATGGTTAGTCACCCAAAAGGACGAGAAATTTTGGAACTGGTACAAAAAGGAATCCTAGTAAAAATAACCATACAGATTGGAACCAGTCATGTGCAGCTTATTGACAGTCATCAGCCTTTTGTTTTTGCGTTCATCACTGTAATGATTATCTCATTAGCCTCACTAATATTTTACTGTGCACAGTATTTCTTATATACTGGCTCACCATTTAGAAATCAGGTAATTATGAAAAACAATTAATTGTGCTTTTAATAGATGGTTCATAAATTCATCCTGTATATTGCCTGAAATTATATGTAAAGATACTCTTAATTTCATTTTCACTTTTTAAGTATTCAAGTGACTTTTGAAAATAGCTCTTTAATTGGAATGTATTAAATGTTCTGCCATGTGGGAATTAGATATTTTTGAGTCTTGATCACTTTGTACACTTTGTCCTTTTCCAAACAGAGAAATGACAAAATGAGACGAGTGTGCCTGCCCCGCTGTAGGCCTGGTCCTTAACCGGACCTAAAGGTGGCAGAGAGGAGGGGGCTTGCTGTCTCCGGCAGAGCAGCTGTCAGACGCTTCCTGGCACCATACCTAGGCCGGGCACATCTCTTCCTAGACTTTAACATAGCGAGTGCGTGTTACACCTATCCTCAGCTTATTCCTTTCTCACTGATACTTAAACACAGGACTTGATTTCTTGGGGCTGGGTGCACGTCTCAGTGGTAGAACATGTGATAGTATGTAAGACTGCCTGGGTTTGGGCTCAGCACCACAGGAAAAGAAGTGAGTTTTCCTTATTTTCAGTGAAGTTGTTTAACCTTCCTTTTGTAATATTTTTTTTCTTTATGCTATAATGGATGACTTTTTAAAAATAGTGACTTAAAATTTTTAGTAATAGTATTTTCTTCCCCAAGAGCTACAGAAAAGAAACTAAGAAAGTTATTGGCCAGCTTCCACTTCATACTGTAAAGGATGGAGAAAAGGTAATGTTTTCACACTGTTTCATGGTTAAACTAGAGGATGAGTTTTATGTTTTAAGAAACACTTTCCTTCCACACGCAGTGCATAAGCAGGTGTGAGTTTGAGCTGACTTCCACGTAGGTATTTATTCTAAAGGAAGGCTGGCAGAAGCATAGTGGGTAAAGACCTCCCGCAGTGTAGCTACTTGTTACATCTGGCTATCTGTATTTCAGTAAGTTACATTTTATTTAAAATTAAGTTTCTCGGGACTGGGGATTTAGCTCAGTGGTTCCGGCATCTGCTTCACAAGCCCAAGGGCCCAAGTTTGATGCCCGGTACCGGGAAATAAATAAATAAATGAATAAAATAAAATTAAGTTTCTCAGTCATTCTAGCTAAGGTTCAAGTGTCTAATGTTTCAAGTGTCCATTGTGGCCAGTGTGGCCGTACAAGACAACACCAATATCACCATCCAAGAAAGTTTTGTCTGTCAGGTCTGAATAACTAAAAAACCTATAGAACTTAACGTTTAAGTGGTAGACCCATGATGCCTTGCATCCATTTCTGTTGAATCTGAGACTTTAAGTCTGTTCTCTTGGATTCCCTTAACCACATGGGGAGAATACTGAGGGTGGTGGGAAAAGGTATTTCAGGGAGGCAGGTCAGGATTGAGGATTGAACCCAGCTCCTTCTGGGAGCTAGGCCAGCCCTGTACTGGTTAACTACATCCCACCCCTTTTTTATTTTGAGATAGGGTCTTGCTAAGTAAGTTCCCCAGGCTGCCCTCAAACTTGCAATCTGTTTGCTTCAGCCTCCCTAGTATAATACCTGGGGTTACAGGTGTGCAGCACTGCACTCAGACTGAAAAGTTGTTTAAAGTACTTTTTAGCTAGGCAGAGTGGTGTGTGCCTATAATCCTGGCACTCAGGAAGCTAAGCCAGGCAGATCATTGAGTTTGAGGCCTGCCTGAACTATAGTGTGAGACCTTGTCTCAAAAAAAAAAAATCAGGGGTTGGGGATTTAGCTCAGTGGTTCTGCCACCTTGCTTTGCAAGTACAAGAACCTGAGTTCAATCCCCAGTACTAAAAAAAAAAAAAATTAGGGCGAGGGATTTAGCTCAGTGGCACCATGCCTGCCTCGTAAGTGCAAGGTCTTGAGTTCAATTCCTAGTACCATAAAAAAAAAAAATTTTTTTTTTAAGGGAGCATTTTGACAAGGTCCATCTTGAGACTTAAATGCTCAGTTATACCAGAGATTTCAGTGGTTTTGGGATAGGACCAATCTCCACTCTAGAGGCACTACGGATTCTTAGAGGTCCAGCTGTTGCTGTGCACTGGCGCTTATTCTTTTGTTTGAGACAGGGTCTCACTGTGTAGTTAAGACTCCCCTGGGACTCACTGTGTAGCCCAGGCTGGTCTGGAACTCACAGTGATCCTCCTGTGTCAGCCTCACAAGTGCTGGGATTACAGGTGTGCGCCACCACTCCGGGCTGTGATGGGCTGTGGGATTGTTTTGATATTTGTTCTATCTTACTAAATTTTTTTTGTTTTGTTTTGTTTTTTGAGACAGGGTCTCACTATGTCTTGAGACTGACCTGGAACTCACTATGTAGCCCAGGCTGGTCTCAGAACTCACAGTGATCCTCCTGCCTCAGCCTCCCGAGTGCTGGGATTATAGGGGTGCACCACCACGCCCAGCTATCTCACTAAACTATTGAGATTTAGAATATTCCACTCCCCCTCTCCAAAAAAAATGGAAACTGCACTTAAAAACTTCCTCAGGCCAGGGATTTAGCTCAGTGGTACCTCCACCTGCCTCACAAGCACAAGGTCCCAAGTTCGATCCCCAGTAAACTCACTATGGCCCAGGCTGGTCTCAGAACTCACAGTGATCCTCCTGCCTCAGCCTCCCGAGTGCTGGGATTATAGGCATGCACCACCACGCCCAGCTATCTCACTAAACTATTGAGATTTAGAATATTCCACTCCCCCTCTCCAAAAAAAATGGAAACTGCACTTAAAAACTTCCTCAGGCCAGGGATTTAGCTCAGTGGTACCTCCACCTGCCTCACAAGCACAAGGTCCCAAGTTCGATCCCCAGTACCAAAAACAAAAACAAAAAATTCTTCTCTAACATACTGGATTAAAGTAAAACTAACACACTAAATTACAGACATTTGATTTTTATAGATTGGGAGTTTAATAATGATTCATGTAATTTATTTAGTATAAAATACTCTTAAATTGTCTTGGTCTCTACTATCCTTCCCTGGCAACTCTGACATTGTGGTACAGTTGAATTGTAATAATTTGTGTATGGTACTGACATCCTCCATGCAAATGTTTTGAACAGAAAAAGCAATAAAATAAAAAATCACTTCTAGTGACTTAAGATTGGCATCTGATTAATAGATCACCAAGGGTCATTTGGGAGTCCCCAGCTAGAACCTGTGGCAAATTCTGCAAAGTTCAGCGAAGCAGAGGTACTTGACAAGTATGTAGTTTTGTGTTCCTCTTGGAACATGCCTCCCACTCTCCTTAGCAGGATGTCAGAGTCCTTAAATATGAAAACACAAAGATTCACATATGTGTAACTTACTGAATCAAGTCTTTTGAGCACATAAGTAAATTGATAGCTTCTTCCCCACTAGCACATTCTTGAAAATATGCTGCTAAGGGCTATTTTATTTTTTTTAAGGTTGTCAGGGTAATAGTTTTTTTTAAAGAGGATTCCTAAATGATCCATTAGGTGTATACATAGATTTTCTGGCAATTTTACATTTTAAACTGGTACAGAACAATGTGTTTTCTGCAGTCTGTATGTTAACCAGTTCCAGAGACTGGTGTTCATATTTTCTTTTCTTGGGTACACAGAGTAATGTATAAACTTGAAAGCCACCATTCATAAATTACTTCATTCTTGCAGAGCATATGATCACTGGCAGTATTGACTTTTGTTGTAGCATAACAGTTCAAAATGTTATAATTTTAATAGTGTTTGATAATATTACTTATATACAAAATAAAATTGTTACTGCTTTCTTGTTAATATGTAGTGTACCTGTCTAAATATACTATTAAGTGATTACATAAGGAATGTATAGCTGTGTTTCATAAAATGAACTTGCTGAAGTCACTGGCACATGCACATGATTACAAGTTCCTAAGTCATTAACCCAGAATTCTGGCCTGTCCTGGGTCAAAGGAACACTGTCCCTGCCTGCTTTGCTTGGTGGGCCAGGACCTGCTGGCGTGTAGATCTAGGGATTACCTATAGAAGTGGGGACTACTGTCCCCAGTGGAAAGGTCTGTCACCCATAGATTCTTAAAAGTGGAAATCTTGTTACAAGACTGCTTCTTCCCATGATAGATCTTTCGCAAAAGAGAAGACCAGGAGATTGAGGGGTGGGGGGAATGATGTGTTATGCACATACACAAACTCCCTACAATGAGTGCTATCATATTGTACTGCACAATGTATTAATAAGACAAAACAAAAAGACTGCTTCCTCCTCAGCAACCTTTATTTGTACTTTTGTTCATTCGTTAGATGGAAAATTGTGACTTTTTCTAAATGGCAATTCTTTTGTCACTAGTGAGGTATTTGCAGAGAAATAGCCACTTGTATTTTCTCATTTGCAAGTTGTATCTTTAGCAAATGTAAATTTCTTTTTAGTGATTCTAGAAAACAAGTAGCTTCTTAGTTCTCTTTATAATGTTTTATGTTTGAAAAGTAATTTATTTTGCATTTCTGTATTTGCATTTCTGCAGCCTTTAAAGCATGAACACTTTTAAAAACTCCAGAACATCAGCCTAGTTCCTGTCTTATTAGACACAGAATGAAATGTTTTCCTCCCGGGCAAGATTCTTTTTTTTTTTTAATCCCACATTCTTTAGATAACCTCTCAAGAGTAGATGGTACTTTTAGGTCATTCCAGAGGAGACTAGAACCATCATTGTTTTAGTCAGGATTTGGCACATTCACCACGAATGTAGTGTATATCGGGTGAAGTAAGCTTTCTCTTCTTTTTCAGGGTGTTGATGTTGACGCTGAGAACTGTGCAGTGTGTATCGAAAATTTTAAAGTCAGCGATCTCGTCAGAATCCTACCATGCAAGTATGTTTTTTTTACCTGAGACTTTAACAGTTGTCTGACAAACTTCAGGATTCTGAGGTCCATGTCTCTTATGACATGGAGAGCTTGCTCTCCTGGTTCAGCATGTCTTTCAGAAGAGCCTTGGGCTTTCATATCATTTTAACGTTTTTAAAAATAGCTTCGTATGGAGGAATCAGGTGATCACTAAGACACATCTTTGTCGTAGATTAGCTTGTAATCTTAGGAACAAGACTTCTTTGGTATCCTAGGAATTCACTATAAACTTGGTGAAGCAGAGTGTGCTGTGTTGGGAGTGGGAAACATGAAGGAGCTAGAAAAGAGGCTGGGCCCAGCCAGCAGGAAGTGGGTCTGGAGAGCAGTGATTTGGGCTTGGGTTTTTTTGAAGTTGGGTAAAATAAATACTCCGCCCTCACTCAGGTTACAGTAACTCAGGCTCAGTTGTAGCAACAGTAAATTACAGTTTCCTTTTTAATAATGGCCTACTTCGCTTGATAACTTTTTAAAGGAATTGCTTTGTTGGCAGAAATGTTTTTGTACAGAAACTCATATATTTCAAGTCTGGCCTATTTTAATTAAATTTCACACCATTTAGAAGCAGAGTCCCAAGTTAGTGTACTTATGACTTGCTTTGCTTGTACAATATCTTAATATATATGTACTTTATAGATAGATAAAATTCTTGATGACACTGTGAAGGATATAAAGAATAAAGTGTCAGAATAAGAGAGTAAGTTTACTGAGTAAAAGTTACTGGCGTAAATCTACAGGCATTTATGTGAGGTTGGTGTGGTGGAGACTGGATGAGTTGGGGTCAGTGCAAGTGAACCATGTCCTGTAGCAAGTCATTAAAGTGGAAGATAAAGGGCCAGGGCCGGGGATTTAGCTCAGAGGTTCGGTGGCCTGCCTTGCAAGCACAAGGACCCGAGTTCAATCCCCGGTACCAAAAAAAAAAAAAAAAA